CAAAAAAAAAAAAAAAAAAATAGAAAAAAGAAAATGCCTAGGCTTGAGCCCTGTCTTCCCCTTTGCTGGATGTGTGACTTTGAGCAAGTTAGTTAATCCCTTTAAACCAGGGGTGCCTTATTACCAAAAAATGAGAAAATTAAAATAAGTATATATTTAATTTTCTTTAAATGACTGAATATGCTATTATTACTACTTACTGATACTTAATGATAACAGCTACACCTTTTTCAGCTTTTTTTTTTTCCCCCCCATTTATTTATTTTATTGTATTTTAGGTTTTGGGGTACATGTGAAGAACATGCAAAATTGCTGCATAGGAACACACATGGCAGTGTGATTTTCCGCCTTCCTCCCCATCACCTACATCTGGCATCCCTCCCCCTGCTATCCCCCCCCAGCTCCCCACCCCCCCTTTTTCAGCTTTTACTGTGTCTGATACTATACTATGGACTTCATATGCATTATCTCATTTTAATCCCAACACAACTCAGTGAGGTAGGTACTATCATTATGTCCATTTTCAGAAATGGCAAAACTGAAGCACAGAGAAGTTATGGAACTTGCTCCTGCTCACACAGCCAGGAAGTAGTAGAACCAGGATTTAAAAGGATACAGTTACTCCAAAGTCCCAGCTTTACTCTGCAACACAGAGATCGGCAAACTTTCCCATGAATGGCCAGAGTAAACATGAGGGGATTTGCAGGCCAAGAGGTCTCTGTCCACTGCTTTTATGCCAGTGGAGCATAAAAGCAGCCATAGACGATACACTTTTTAAAAAATGAGTGTGGCTGTGTGCCAAGAAAATCTTACTGGTAGACACGGAAATGTGAATTTCACATAACTGTCATGGGTCACAAAATGTTCTTCTTTTGATCTTTTGCCAACCAATTAAAAATGGATGGAAAGAAAACTACTCTTAGCTCACTGACTGGCAAGGGCCGGATGTGGCCTGAGGGCTGGCGTCAGCCAACCTTTGCTCTACACTTTGCTGCCTTCTTTTGATTCCTGCCTTTATCTGTATTGCTTCCCCTAGGCCTTCCCAAATCCCCCCATCCTTCTAAGGGTACTGTTTCTTCTAGGATAGCTTTCCAGATCCTCAAGCCCCAAACCATTTCCCCTACTTCTCTGATGTCTTCTGTGACATATAATCTGAAGTATACAATCTAGGATTCCTATTCATCATATTTTTTAAATGTACATAAGCTCTGTAACATCAACAACACTGGAAGCTCTTACATTGTTCTTGGTTTTTTTGCTTGTTTTGTTTTGTTTTTTGAAACGGAGTCTTGCTCTGTAGTCCAGGCTGGAGTATAATGGCACAATCTCGGCTCACTGCAACCTCAGACTCCCAGGTTCAAGAGATTCTCCTGCCTCAGTCTCTCGAGTAGCTGGGACTACAGGCATGTGCCACCACATCTGGCTAATTTTTGTATTTTTAGTAGAAATGGGGTATCACCATGTTGGCCATGCTGGTCTCAAACTCCTAACCTCAGGTAATCCGCCCACCTCAGCCTCCCAAAATGCTGGGATTACAGGCGTGAGTCACCACACTCGGCCTGTTCCTCTTTCCTTTTTTCCATTTTTGGCTTTCTAGGCAGCTCTGACAACTGGCTCCTCTTTTGCATCTCCACTCTATCCTCTGGCATATTTAATATTATATGAATAAATATTATATGCCTGCTATTAATCATTCTTCCATATTAAT